GCAGCAGCAGTAGTGGTGGTGGTGGTGGTGGTGGTGGTGGTGAGGCTAGTGAGTCAGTGAACAGTTACACTTGCAGTTCCTTGGGTTTTGAATGTTTGCAGGCCTGCACGAAGCTTGACGTTGAGCCTGGCTTCCGCAGCATCAACTTGGCATATCCAGGGCTTCAGCTTGTGCGGAAGCTCGCTCTAACAACTCTGCAAGCCTGTTTTAGGGAGTTAGGCTTTAGGGATTTTGGGTTTGATTATGGATTTAGGGTTTTGGGAGTTCCGATTAAGGGATTCAGGGTTCAGGGAGTGCTTGCATAAGCGCCCAGGCGGGCAAGTTGGGCTGGTACTCAAGACCCGCTGCACACAGGGTTTAGGGTTCCAGGACTTCAGGGACAAACAAGCATCAGCAAGTGATTTCCCTCAGCTGAGGAGATGTCCTCACATTTTCCTAGTCCCGAACTTCTTCAGCGGTGACGAGTGCCAGCGGCTGGTGAGGAAGGCTCTGTCCGACCGAGAGAGCATGAGACCCGCAGGTGGAGGTTCTCGAAAATTTTGAAGTTTCCCAAAATGAGGGGAACCTAATGTATAAACCCCCAAATGCTATAATCCTTATGATGGGGACCCCAAAAAGACACGCCTTATTTCGGAAGCCCCCGCATAGAATCCTCAATTGGGATCCCTAGAAATCTTTATCTCGAGGCCCCCCCCTTTTTTGAGAACCTCCATTTCAGTATGAATGGGCCAAAACTGGTCGCACTTTTAACATCTGCCATGAATAAGGTAGAGGTAGTAAAGTTGAGGGAATCTTACCTCTGGCTAGCTAGGACTGAAGGAATGGACAACAATATGGAAACCACCGTGATGGAGAATCAAATGGACAAAACAATCGAACATGAGATGCAAAATGGGGTTAGGTAGGGATCATATACCGTTTTTAAGTGGAATGGCAAACAGACCGGAAGCAACTTGTACTATTTGGGGTTCTATAGGGGCTGCTACACGTGTCCATTCCTCGATTTCTTGCTAATCAGAGGTAAGGAGTCGGGCGTTCAATTCACCCTGAACCTTAAAAAGCCCATTAGAGTAGTTTCCATTTTGCGTTCCACTATTCCTATATAACCCTTCATAGTAGGTTCCATTCTCTTTTCCATTATCGCTAAGCCCTTGGGAGTTCAATCCATGGCTTGAAGACCTACTGAGGTGTGTTCAGTCGCGATGGCCACAAGCGATCGCCTGTTCGCACCAGCTCTCAGTGCTTATGTCCTCAGGCTGAAGTACCATCGCTTATCAGGAGGATCGTTGCCCCTTGACCTGCACTCTACATTGAGAGATCCGTTCAGACTTTTGCAAGCGATGGCAACGAACTCATTCAGCGACTTGCTATGAATACAGACTTCAGTGCTCATGTTGGCGGAGGGGTAGCAAATTTGAACCACAGCTACTCAAGTAGGAGGCAATAAGGAAGGTTCTGTTAACACTTCCTGGAGCAACCATGGGCAACTGCTAAGGGCAAAAGTAAGGCTCTGCTACAGTGCACTTCGCGCCAGCTAGAAGCTTGTCAGATCATGCGATACAAGGCGCATTTGCTTTAGTGGCACAAGCATTTGCAGACGGCAGCCTATTAGTAGCTTTACAGTTGCCAGGAAGGTGATTTCTTCAAGCTGCATGGCGACTTCAGCACCTGATGCAGCACTAAGCACTTTTTTTTCTCAAATCATGCTGCAGCAGCTGGGATCCCTCGGCATCTCACAAATGGTAGTTTCCCCAAGACTGGTAGGGGAACCTCAATATAGACCCCTAGATACTACCATCCTTAAGATGGGATCCCCCAAAAGGTACGCTTGCTTTTGGGAGACCCAAGCCCTGAACCCTAACCCCTTGCCCCTAACCCCTATAATTCCTTTACACGAATTTGTGGAAACCCCCAAACGGCCCAGGTACGAGCGGAACGAGATCCAGCGCGGGTTTCATTGACAGCTCTCGGTTAGCAACGCTTTTCGTCTATTTAAACGATGTCAAGCAAGGACTGCCGCACGAGCTATGGTCTAAACTCCTCAAAGGCAGCTATATATGGGATTAGAGAGGGGATTTTTCGAGGGTAATTAAGGGGGATACCAGGGTTTAGGGCTCAAGGTATTTGGGCTGTATGGGGAGTATGTAAGGGTGTATCAGCTCTTGTCTAAACTCCTAGTATCCCCCTTAATGACCTCTTATAATCCTCCCCTCTTTAATCCCATTTAAGGAGTTGAGACTTTAGCTCACACGCCCTTGTGTAGGCTTTGAAGTACATGGTGACGGTTTGAAGGGGTTTCCGGCAGATGTGCGTGTGCGTATGTCTGAATGGTTGCTGACCGGCTGTCTGTAGCCCTAAGCCCTACCCTGAACAGGAGGCGAAACGGAGTTTCCAAATGCTTCGCCGCCTCTGACGATTTCACCACAACAAGGCAGGCCTCTGAGAAGTGCTTTTGATCGTCTGAAATGGGGGTTTCCCAAAACTAGGGGTACCTTTTTGGGAGTCCCCATAATAAGGACTATAGTATATTACGGTCTATATTGGGTCCCCCTATTTAGGGACACTACCAAATATTCGAAGTTTTTCTCCATCAATCTCTATCAAGCCCCGGGTCCATCATAGTCCTCGAACTGATGGTCTGGCGCACGGGGCTGCCTTCGGCTTAGGGTTTAGGGCATTTAGGGGGCCTGAATACGCACCTAACATTTAAAAACGGTCTATGTTTTGATGGCCAGTATACAGTATACATAACGCCAGGTGAGCCACTGTTGATGTTATGATTAGCACGACTACCCTTGGAGTATAGGGGAGGAAACAGCGTTAGTGTTTTCGTGGATTTTGGTCGGTGAGTATCTTGTACCAATAACATGGACCTAGGTTCATGGTAGACTTATGGTATAGAGTAGCTCAAATAGGCTTCAAACAATTTCTGGAAATAAATTAGGCCCTTACAGGACACAACCCCCTTAATACGAATGAAATCCCATTCCATGTCCATATTTTTTCCATTTCATTCTCGAGTATTGGGTGAAAGTATCCTTAACCCTATATAGTTCCTATATATATCCCCTATAACATTCCCAGAAGATTCCCATACAACCTCCTGCTATAATCCCTACACAACCTCTACGTCATGCCGATGCCCTTAACCCTAAACCCTAGATCCTAAACCCTAAATTCTCAACCTTAAATCCTAAACCCTAAGCCTGAAATCCAAAACCCTAAATCCTAAACCCTAAACCTGAAATCCTAAACCCTAAATCCCAAACCCTGAATCCTCAACCCCCGACCCTAAATCCTAAGCCCTGGGTGCATCCCTGAGGCTTGGCCGTGCTGCACTTCCCGGCCCGCTTGGATCGTGGCTCGGACGCGCGTCGAACGCAGCCGCTGGACTTCTCAGAGACGAGGGGCGGCTGTAGGAAGTTTAGGGTTTATTGCCATTACTTAGGGTTTGGGGGGGTGTCATTTTGGTATTCAAATTTTAGAATATATGGGCTTGAGGGTTTAAGGCTTAGTGTTGGGGCCTAGGGACAAGGGCTACGGATCATGTATTCTAGCCACTTCTGTACAACCATTTAGCTGCGCTGTTCTGGACCTTACAAGGATTTCTGGGGATTGTTTCGGGAAATGTTGCCGGCATGGTGTGGGCAGTCTCAGGTTTTGAGCTGTTATATTGTGATTACTATTCTTACTTTTATCTATTGGACATATGCCGCTGCATGCCTCCTTTTTTGGCCGTGGTTTGGTCCAAGCCTCACAAAGGGGACCCGACAACCCCAAGTGAGCTATAGTCCCAACCCCGTAAAGCCGGGTTATAGTCCCTTAAGTAGATAGAATATGGCTTTGGGTATGTTATAATAAGATCCCATATTCTATCTACTTAATGGGGACTATATAGGGGAGAATCATAGGGCTTATTAAGGGGGATGCTAGGAGTTCAGACTACTTATCGCTCATGTGATGACCTCCACCAGGAGTTGCTGGTTCCCTCTAGAAGTAGGCCTTGGAGCAGGGAATCCCTAGGATTCAGACACCTTCCGTGAGTCCGTGGTTTACTGTTTAGGGTTTAGTGGCGCCGCCTCCTGGAAAACCTAAGTGGCTAGGAACTTAAACTTGCGAAGACAAAAAGTAAGTTCATCATATTCGTTGCGTTTGTAAGGCATCAGAGCCTCCCTGCTGTGGATGAAAAGTGGATCTTTGCAACCTGGCTATGGAGTGGCTTACCTGCAAGGACTGTTACTATTATCATTACTAGTATTCTTGCTGCTAGTATTATTTCTAGCGTTACAATAAGTCTTACTCTTACTACACGTCATCCCTTTTATGCTCCGTATAGTGCCGCAGTACTCATTCTTACATTACTAGCTCTGCCGCTCGTGCTCAAGCATCTCTAAGGTGAAGAGCGCTCCAGTGACCTAACAGCTTTGCAGAAAATTGGCCGTGGCTGCTTGGATGTTTCTGATGCTTAACCTTGTTGTACGGTGAAGGCATGGTCCACAACATAATAAAGGTGCAAGTGCAGGCTTAGGTTCTTGATGTTGGCTCCAGGGCATGCCAGGCGCAATGCGGATATCAGTCTAACTTGCACTCAAACTTTGCCTACAAGGCTACACTCATGCTTGGCCGGAGTCGTATGACCCGCTCAGCGCAGACGTGATCTGAGATGAGCAGACTCGCACAGCTGGGGCAAAAGGATTGGTTTGGTTTGATGGATGTGGGCATCAAGACATCTAGTCCGCCTGAAGTAGATAGAATATGGGGTATGTGGGATTATTTGGGGATCTTATTATAACATACCCAAACCCCTGTTCTATCTACTTAAGGAGGACTACATTCTGAGCAGGTCTGCGCTTTACTCAAATTGTGTCAGCAAGCCGAAGAGTCGCTGGATGCAGGTGGCGTTGCATCTACTGGCTTCATTGTCGGACTGCCGGTTGCGCCCAGATGTTGTGAGTGCAGCGCTCAGGGGTTATGTAATGGAAAAATGGAAACCATTATAATGGGTTATATAGGGATTATGGGTCTCAGGTATTTGCACGCAACAACTCCACAGATGCAAGAGAGTGCAAGTTGCGATGGCAAGGCTGCAACTCTGTGCTGACATCCTGCGGTCGTGGCTTCGAGTGGCGGAAGGTTCTGGAGCTGCTGCGAAGGATGCAAACATCTCGTGATCCCAGGCACAATGTGCACAATCGAAGCACGAGCTGTGCCGTTCACATGCGTGGCTAGCAGGCCAGATGTTGTGTCCTTCAACACGGCTCTCTCAGCTGTTGCCAGCAGCAGATGGCTCAGATAGTCTTGGTAGCATGTCAGCCCGCGTTCCAAGGTCTAAGTCTTTGGCCTCTGTCGCCTGTCGTAATTGTTTTATTAAACTTTGGCTTCGTGCTGTACCCGCACATGCCGTTGTGGAGGGTTCCAGGGCTTGACTACAAAGAGTTTCATAATTCTGCCTGACCGCAGCTGGGCCCAAACTGAGCCCAGCCCAGCTCATCCTGTGCTTCGACGCTTCTAGATGGAGTCCACAGGGCTTTGCGGCCCCATCAAGGCAACTTTTTGGGAGCTTCACCGACAGCTCGCAGAATGCTTCACAGCGGCATTTGCCTTGGGTAATGTAGGGTATCCGTTTCATATCGAGTACACGGAGTCAGCCATCTGGAACAGGAACCAGCCAATCAGGTGTTGGCCAAGGAAAAATTGAGATAACTAGCTGCGGTACCCATCTCCATTTGCTCAACTGGGTAGAAGTAGCATTCGCTGCAGAAATTGAGAGACGTGTATGCCGTGTGTGATTTGCTGCAGGCTACGCCTCCGATGTTGCAGCTGCTCAAGGAGGTCGACAACAAGAACAGAAACTGTCGAAAGCAGGAGATGCCGTTTTGCCAGCCCTGTTTTTTGCAGCGCTTGCACTTGACATTGAAGCTTGATGGAGGAGACGCGGTCACTTCCCTTCAGTTCAAGTTTGAGCAACATTTGCAGACCCCTGCGATCACGAATGAGAGGTGCCAGGGCCGATGTGCTTATAGTTCCCCTTAAGTAGATAGAATATGGGGTATATGGGGATCTTATTTTAATATCCTAAGCGATATTCTACCTACTTAAGGTGGATTATATACTCTGAAATTGGTAGAGGCATGCAGTGTGACAAGCTGGCCGTTTGCCTAGTCGGGGTTGCCATTTTGCAGTAGTGCCAGCTGTAGTAACTTTGATTTTGATGCCCCAGCAGACATGGTAGCTAGAACAACAGGGTATATGTAGGGGATATATTGGGGATAATGGAAAAGAGAATGGAAACTGCCATATTATAGTAGGGATATATATATATATGTATGTAACAGGGCCTGGATCTGAGCGTGAGTCATCTGGTAATGCTGAGTATACCATTGTGATATTGCTTAGAACCCAACACCAAAGGGAAGAGAGCCCCCTAAGAATAGGGATATACCCTTGCTCGGCACCAACTCCAACTCTATGTAACCCTATATAGCGCATTAGAGCAGTTTCCATTTTCTTTTCCAGCATTCCTGATATAAACCGCTATATAGAGCCTGTATAATCCCTAGTTTCCATTTTCTTTTCCATTATCCCTACATAATCCCTATATATTATAGTAGTTTCTATTTTCTTTTCCATTATCCCTATAACCCTAAACCCTAATCCCTAAACCCTAAACCCCTATATACTATAATCCCTATAGGCGGCTTAGCAACCACTCCATTATCTCCATCGATCCGCTCGGGGCACGAAGTGAGCGGGCCATGGTCTTGGATCCGACCCGCAGTGAGCGGCTAAGTGCCAAAGACCGCATTGAGACAGTCAGGGGCAGGAGCCCTTCAGCCATGATGAGCTCATTGTAGGTTGACGTGTGGCAGTGTTGGCTTGCTCAAGTCTCAGCGGTCTGCAGGAGAAAGCAGACAATGAAAATTCTCGGAAAAGTGCAGGGCGTGGATGTGCCAGATGAGGGCAGCAGCGCACACATCAATCTGAAGCTGCACGAATGTGCCTCAGCTTGCCGAAGCAAGCTGGAGTTTGCTTGAGCTTGCCGACTGTCCCGTGCACGCCATCTCAGGCTGGGATGCAAACAAGCTTCAGAAGAAGGTTCCCGGAGGGAACAGGCGACTGTCTCAAGACTGTGGTGCTACTAGAGATATGCTTCCAGCACTGCACCTCGTCATGCAGAAAGCAATCAGAGCACTGGCCACCTTGCCGGGTTCCGTTTTCCTCCTGATGTATTAATCAGGGGACTCAAAAGGTGGGATGAAGGTAGGTGGGTTAAAGGATCCTTAGTAATATTGGGGCTTATTTCCTATACCCCACCTTTGAGAGCCTTCTGAATTAAGTCAGGGACAAGCCTACTGGAAGCGGTGAGGATTCCGCGCAGAGGACAGGCCAGTCGTGCATCCGATGCAGGTTCACTTGCACGCAGCAATGATGAACAAGCAACTGTTACTGGTACATGCCGGTGCACAGGAGTTATGTGTTCCATCCAGCCGGAATGTTCAGAACTGTTTGGAATATGATTACAGCCTTGTGCGTCCTGTATGATCTTATCGTCATTCCGCTGTATGCCTTCGACCTGCCGAACAGTGCCCCCTTGATTGTCTTTGGATGGATCATCATGCTGTTTTGGAATTTGGACTTGGTCGTTTCCTTCCTGACGGGCTTTTACGATGAGGGAGCGCTCATTCTATCACCTGCTCGAATTGCTGTCCACTATGCCGCTTGGTTAACATTTGGGTTCCCCCCCTTGAACTTTCGTCCAGAGGGACCGGATGGCCGCAGCAGCCAAGGTAAGAACTTGGCTTCTTTTTGACATCAGCTTAATCTCGTTGGACTGGGTATTGGCTGGAATGGACATGACGGAGTCAGGGGAAGAACAGGCAGCGTGGTCGCGCACCTTGCGCATGCTCCGCTTCCTCAGATTGATACGTATGCTGAGATGGATTAAGCTGCGGCAAGCAAACGAAGCTCTGCAAGACCTTCTTCACTCACAGGCGGGGTTCCTTCGTAAACTTGGACATGCAATGCACAGAATATCCCCCTATTATAGTGTGCACGAGGCAGAAACCGCTCGCAAGCACAAAGCTTCATATGGTAGTTTCCCAAAATAAGGAGACCCCAATATAGACCCCAAAATACTATAGTCCTTACTATAGTGATCCCCAAAAAGGTATCCCTAATTTTGGGAACTACCCATATGCATGTGGCATGCGGTCTGGTCAAGTCTCAACAACAGTCTGGGCACAAAGGTATCGCTGCAAGCGGCTTCGCACGGGCAGCAAAACAAACTGCTTGCAAATGGCATCAACTGGTATGCGGGGTTATATAGGGTATAGATTGGGTATATATCCAGATATATTGGAGATATATTGGGATAATGGAAAAATGGAAACTACTATAATACAATAGGGTATATGCTCTTGAGTACTAAGCCCACTGGTCTGGGTGCTGCCGGTGCCGCCGCCGCCACCGCTGCTGTTGGTGCTGGTGTCGGTGCTCGCCGCGGCGCAGCGGTGGTGCTGGCAGTGGGGGGTAGTGCTTGGGATTTGTTGATGGTGGCCTTGGTGATTGCTGATGCTGGTGCTGGTGGTATTTTTTCCACTGCTGCGGCCGCTGCTGCGTTGCTGTATATGGGTTGTTACCTGTTGCATGTGCCTCCAGAGGAGGAGGAATTTTCAGTGAACGCCAATTCTGCTTGTGTCCAATGCTGAGCTCGTCATGATGAATTTAAAGGGTCTTGGCTCCGGACTCAGGGACAGAGTTAGAGGGTTCCCAGAAACGTTGCAGCTCCACGGCACTCAAATTCCTGCAGTCATACTGAAAGAGCTGCCCCGCCTTTGGTGTCCCAATATGCGCTATAGTCTAAACTCCAATCCCCTCTATAGTTCCCTAGATATAGTCCCCCTTAAGTAGATAGAATGAGGCTTGGGGTATATTATACCAAGATTCCCATATACCCCATATTCTATCTACTTAAGGAAGACTATAACCCCATGTAAGGAGTTTAGACTACAGCTCATATGGATGCCAAGAGTTGCTTCGCAGGTTATGAGCTTGTACTACGGCTTGGCGAGCAGTATCGCGCATCTCATGGTTCTGAACCACTTAATCGCTTGTGCATGGTTTGCGGTGCATCACCTTGCTTCGGACAATTGGGTGATCGCCAGCCAGATAAAAGAGAGCGAGATCATACATCAGTACCTTGTGTGTCTCAACTGGGTGACTGGGGTTGATTTAAACATTGGCTTTGCTTTGTGAACTTCCAGTTCGATCCCTTTTCAACTTGCAGGATTTTTTCGATTTTTGTTGAGTAGCCCCTAAACCCTAAACCCTAATCCGGCCTAGGCCTTTGCTCAACTTGGAGTGGGTTCCAGTAATGCCAAGCCCGTCAACAGCCTGGAGTTTGCCTTTTGCATCATCATTGCTTTCCGATCCTGGGTTGCTGTTCAGGAACTTAAATTAAGTTACCATATTGGGGAAACCATATTACTTTCTATATATACCTATTATGGTCACTCAGTTCAAGTTCCTTAACAGCAACCCAGGATCGCTCATTACAAGCTCTACCTTGATCAGCACAGTCAGCAACTTGATGGCCGGCTTGAGCAAGATCAAGGACCGGATTTAAATTAAGAATATAGGGACTATATAGGGCTACAGGGATTATATGTAGGGGTATTGTAGGGATTACATAGGGTTTAGGGTTCAAGAACTTAAATTAAGTTAGCATAATACCCCCCCAGTAATGGAGAATCACATGGAAAAGAACATGGACAATGAAATGGAAACTGGGGAAATATAGGGGCTTAAGTAACTTAAATTAAGTTACCATGGTGGGTATATACATGGTAATTAATAGGGTTTCCCCAATATAGTAATTTAATTTAAGTTCCTTACCAGCAACCCAGAGGAGGATGAGACCAACGAGTTTCGATTGTTGCGGGCCTACCTCGCAGCAAATGAAATCCCACAGCAGCTCACGCAGAAGGTTACACAGCTCCTGGGATATCCCTTGGAATAATTCTAGGCTTTAGGATTTGGGGGGTTTGGGGTTTAGGGCTTAATGATTAGGGACCCTAATTCCTACATAATCTTATACAGCCCTAGAAATAATCCGTAGAGGACCCCTAAGCCTACCGTAGTTGAAAATCAGTGTAATCCCAGTTTCCATGCTATTTTCTATTTTCCGTTCCACTCGATTCTCCATCATTGGGCCCTATATCCCCATATATATGGCCCTACAATCCTTATGATACCTACATAACCATCCATTATTGGGGGGTTTTATAGGGTTTAGGGCCCTCAGCCCTAAGCCCTATATGGCTCTAAACCCGTCAACTCTAAACCCCACGCCCTAAATCCTAAACCTTTAAATCCATCTTTGGAGCAAAGGCGCCCTAAACCCTAAACCCAGGTTCCTGCAGTTTCAATATGCTTTACGGCAAGAAGCGAGGCAGGGAATCAACAGAGCCAGGGTGTAGGGTGTAGAGTTTACTGGGTTGCTGCTAAAGAACTTGAATTAGGAATATAGGGACTATATGGGGCTATACGGACTATATAGGGTTATTATAGGGATTATATAGGGTTTAGGGTTAAGTTATTATAATACCACCCAGTAATGAGAATACAAGGACTATATAGGGCCATAGGGGCTATATAGGGTTATTGCAGGGATTACATAGGGTTTAGGGTTAAGGAACTTAGATTAAGTTGGCATAATACACCCCCGGTAATGGAGAATCAAATGGAACAGAACATGGAATATGAAATGGAAACTGGGGAAATATAGGGGTTTGAGGAACTTAGAATAGGTTACCGTGCTGGGTACATACAGTAATTAATGTGGTTTCCCCAATGTCGTAATGACTTAGATTAGGTTCCTTAACAGCAACCCAGTTTAGGGTTTAGGCGTGGAGAGTTGCACCTGCTGCAAAGAAAGGGTTTAGGATGTAGGGTTTAGGGTTTGGGTTTGGGGTTTCATTGGCCATGAAGCTAAAAGCATGTCTTGCAGGTCAGCAGATATGCAGGTGCCCTTGCTCGAGATGCTCTCACAGCAGCTGCAGGGAGAGCTTCAATTCGCTCGATATCAGAGATCGCTTTGCAAGCTGAAATTCATTGAGGACCTGATTGACGACCCAGACCTACAAACTTTGCAGGTCCTGCACCGCTTGGCCATGACTGCATTGAACAATACAATTGTGGCAGCAAAGGATGTGATCTTTCTTTGTGGCAGCCAGGCAGTGGCTGCGTCATTGAAGCTGAGTGGAGCTTTGACATATTTCCATGAGGATGGGACGAAAACGATTGATTCATCCACTTGGGTGGCAGAGGTTTGCCTTTGGACGCCATGGATTTTCATGGGTGACCTGGTTGCTGATGATGTGACGCGCTTGGCCCTGCTGGATGCTGAAAGTTTTTGCGGAATCCTTTCGCAGAACTGGCAAACCCAATACGCCGCCCACCGATACGCAAAGGACTTCCTGGATCCTCGCCAGCACAAGTTTAATGTGGTAGTGCATAAATAGGGATTCCAAGACAGACCCCACAATCATCCTTATTATAGATACCCGCATGTATTCTTGGAACATGGGTTTCAATCTTTTTGCGGAAGCTTGTCCCCAAAGATCTGGACTGCAGGAAGCACTGAAGAAGCAGGAGAGCTGGCTAGACGTGCTGGAGCGGGAGGATGACAGCGAATTTGCCAGCGTCGACGGGAGCAAGACAAGCGCCCCCAGGGCGGTGAAGATGCAATGCTGCGCCTTGGCACCTAAGGCTGAGGTCCTTTTCATGTTGCCTTGTTTTTGCGCGTAGGCTTGATTACACCCCTATATAACCCCAAATTATACCCTTATGTAACCCTATATTATAACCCTATATAGCCCTATACTATGCCCTGATATAACCCGGTTTGTAGAGGGGCTTGCTTCCAATCATGTCTCCAAGGTCCGCGAATGCTCGGTGGAAGGAAGCAGCTTTCACAGGTGGTAGCATCGACCCCTCCCGCACAATCTTCTGGTGTTCTTCGTTGATTGTATAGTCACCCTCAAGTAGATAGAAGATACCCTAAACCCTAAACCCTAAACCGATATATGGGGATCTTATTATAATATACGCAAGTCCAGGGATTGTGTGCTAAGGGCACTACATGCCAGGGGTCATTGTTTCACTGATTTCAGAATGGGAGCTAAAGCTGTGGAACAATTTGGGAACCTTGGGATTACTATACTAGTATTATTGTTACTATAACTATAACTATTACTATAACTATTACTATAACTATTACTATAACTATTGCTATTACTATTATTCATACTACTATTATTACAGCTCCTACTTAGAGCCACCGAATCGGAGCAAACTCTGATGTTGGCGAAGCCACTTAGGGCGATGCTCGCGTGGGTTGAACCCGCTCTCTCAACCCGCCGGCTACGAATGTGTGAGCTATAGTCTAAAGCCCTATAGGGTGATTAAGGCGGATACTAGGAGTTTAGGCTATAGCTCATGTGCTGCGCAGAACTTGGTCAGTCTCTGCGGTCGCCTTCAGGCACCAGCAGTCAGCCTGGCCTTTGTTGGAATCCAAGTTTTATCCCCCTCGTGTTGGCTATGATCTGTCAATGTCCGTGTTGGGGAGCAAAGCGGACCGACGCAGCCAGGGTCCGACGCACGAAGGTGGTGGGTGCCTGGCGTAGCCGTTTACAGTCGTTTGGCAATGCTTTCGTCAAACTCTAGCAAGACAAGGCGGAGCAAGCACCACTCGGGCCCTGGAAGCAGGACCCAAAGTACCTTCCCATAGCTGACCCAATTTTCATGGCGCATTGTCTTGAAATAAAAAGCTTCAGAGCCCCCTTTACCAAGGCAACAGCTAAATCTTTTCACTGCTTGATGATGCATTGCAGCTGAAATCTTGAAAAAATGGAAATGGAAACACCTAGTAGAATATACTGTAGTAGTTTCCATGTTCTTTTCCAGTATCCATATCTACAGTAACCCCTATAGAAATCTTGAGAAAATGGCCGCTGCATACAGCTCAAAGCTTAGATTTCGAGCTCGTGGCTCGAAGCCATGGACTCAGATACTGGGCTGCTGTTAAGAAATTTCATTTAAGTTATCATAATATGGGTTTTAATATGGGTATATGGGATTTAGGGTTTAGATAGGTTTTGATATGGGTATATGGGATCTAGGGTTTAGATAAGTTATCAGAATAGGGGTATATAGTAAAAAGTCTCCTTGTTGTAGTAACTTAACTTAAGTTCCTTCACAGCAACCCAGGATACAGTCTTGCCTCCCAGAGTGCCAAGCTTGGTTCCTAGCCCGTCTATGGCCGGTTTGACCGGTCTGAAGAGCAATTTTTGGGAGCTGCACAGACAGCTCGCAGAATGCTTCTTCTCCTGCCAATGTACCTGTTCATGTCTTGGATTCTATAGTATATATTGGGGTTATATAGGGATAATGGAAAATAAAATGGAAGCTACTATAGTATATTGGGGGTTATATAGGTGTATTTAGGACCATATATTGGGGTTATATAGGGATAATGGAAAATAGAATGGAAGCTGCTATACTATGATAGGGTTATATGAGCTGTAGTCTAAACTCCTAGTATCCCCCTTAATATCCCCTAAAGTAGTCCCCTATATAATCCCCTATATAACCCCCCTTTAAGGAGCCTAGACTATGACTCATATGGAAGTCGGAAGTTCTTGGGATCTCAGGTTACATGGCTGACATGGCCCTCTCGGAAGCTCCCGACCTTGGCTACAGTGTGAGCCCGACTATTGAGAACCATCTGCAACCTCCATACTCAAGGCCGGGTCCCTACCTAGACCCCCCCAGGTACCCTAAAATAGGGTCTATGTAGCTTCTATTTGGGGGTACTTAGGGTCTATAGAGGGTACTTGGGGGGTCTAGGTAGTACTGAGAATAGAACAACTTGATTCTGCTGGCTTCATGAAACTGACTGAGGAAGCAAAGTCAGAGCATGAGCCGCGCATCCGACTCGCAGACGAATGCGCAGTCAAGAAGGCAGAGTGGACTACCCGGAAGGCGGGCCGGGACAATTCTGCAAGTCTGGAAGTCTGCCATCGACGTATTCCAACTGTAGTGCGGTTACGAGTAAATATACCCTAATGATACATGATGAGCATGTGTTGTCACTCTGCCATATCCGGCAAGGCGAGACAAGTCACTGAAGACGCTTCTCCAAGTGCAAGGTGGGAGTTCCTAAAATTAGGGGTACCTTTTTGGGGGTCCCTACAATAAGGACTATAGTATTTGGGGGTCTATATTGGGGTCCCCCTGCTCTAAACCCCAAACCCTAAACATCCCTAAACCCTAAAACCCAACCCTAAATCCTAAAACCGAAGCCCTATATAGTAGTTGCCATTTTCTTTACCATGGTCCCAAACTAGCCCTAGTATTAACCCAATAGGTTAAACCCATTTAGGGAAAATAGCAGGTCAACCCTTATCCTTGACATCCAGCGTGGGGGCCAGCGGTATTGAGCTGAAGCCGCACGAGTGTCTGGACTGCTGTTCAGTATATAGCGGTTATGTTGGGGTAAATGGAAAAGAAAATGGAAATGACTATGCAGGAACTTCAATTAAGTTACCATTATACGGGTGTATGGCAAATTATAAGGTTTCCTTATTAGCAGCAATCCAGGTGTTGGATATCTTCGAATGCGAAGCCCCAAGGGCCCATGGTTCGGGCAAAAGTCTCCGAGGAGCGTGAGCGACAGTACACCAGGTCAAGACGTGAGAGCCACGGCTGCTCTGTGTGCTTGACTTTGGGTACTGCCCCCACTCTGTAACACTTGGATAATATTTGTAAAATAGTTATGTATAGCCCTTGATATGAGCCCTTAATATAGACTGTCACAGGGTGGGGGCAGTCCTTAACTTGAATTTTGCAGTGGAGCCATGCAACTTTAGAGCCGCAACCACAAGGGGACCAGAGATCAGCATTGAAAGCATGGCTAACGAAACCCTAGACTAGGCCCTAGACCCTTAAACCCTAAAACCCTACGCCCTGGCTATCTGAGGATGCACAGTGGCGAGGCGCCAACAACAGAGGAGGCAGCTTCGCCCGTTGTAAGGACAGGGCCACCTTCAAATCGACCCCCAAGTCTTTTCTTCAATGTTTGTCTTGATCAGACCAGCTCTGTTTGCAGAGGAGGTGCGTGCTACATCCCGGTGGGACATGGCGCACTTTCTGGAACCTGCTGGTCGCCATGTGTATCTTCTACGATCTGCTGGTTATCCCCCTGTACGCCTTCGAACTTCCTTCGAGCGTCTTTCTTGCAGCAGCAGGGTGGTACATACAGTTGTTCTGGAATGTGGACTTTGTGCTCTCCTTCCTGACTGGCTTCTATGATGAAGGCACGCTTGTCTTAGCGCATTCTCGCATAGCTTGTCATTACGCAAAGACTTGGATGCTTTTTGATATATCATTGATTGCAATGGACTGGACCTTTGTCGTGGTGGACACAGTGGACGCCGCCGAAGCACAGTCATTGCAATGGTCGCGCAGCCTGCGCATGCTACGTTTTCTGCGCTTGGTGCGCATGTTGCGGTGGGTGAAGCTCCGGCGAGTGCATGAAGTCTTTCAGGAGTACTTCCATTCCCAGGCAAGAAGGAGCAAAAGTGGAGATTTTGTTTTAACATCTTGCCTTCTCGGCCTGCACAAAAAAAATGCGCCAAAGGCCGCCAGCTTGTACTACGGCCTTGCCAGCAGCATCGCCCACCTCATGGTGCTGAACCACTTAATTGCATGCGGGTGGTTTGGGGTCAGTCGCCTCAGTGATTACAACTGGGCCGTGGATAGCCAAATCGAGAATGACCCAATCGGGCATCAGTACCTTGCCGCAAGGTTTTAGAGATTAGCATGTAGGCATTGTCTAGGCTTGAGCGCGCTGCGGAGAGACAACTTTACTTGATCCTTGCGTTGTACCTCCCCCCTATATAACCCCTCTATTCCCTTTATATACACCTTATATAACCCCATATAACCCCTATATAGCCCCTATATCCCTGGGGCTACCGCAGGTACCTTGTTTGTCTGAATTGGGCCTTTGCTCAGCTCGGAGTCGGCAGCAGTTCGGCCAAGCCTACAAACAGCGTCGAGTTTGGCTTCTGTATCCTGATCACCTTCCGCTCTTTGATTACATCCTCTACCCTAATTTCCACAGTCAGTAACTTGATGGCAGGACTAAGCAAGATCAAGGAGGATGAGAACACAGAGTTCCGCCTCCTTCGCTGCTACCTGTCCCACAACGAAATTCAACCGGAATTGGGGCAGAAGGTCACGCAGTTTCTGCAGCACCAATACACGCTTCGGCAGGAAGCAAGGTGCGGGCATCTTTCCATGAGTAGTCAGTTAGAGATGGGTGACATAGATCTTCCACTGGGTGCTAGAGATTGTTCTGGCTGCATTTTTGAGAAATGGACTCATGCGCTGCTGCCATTGAGAGATTGAGGTCTGCCGACATGGAGGTGCCCTTGCTCGAGCTGCTTTCGCACCAGTTGAGGGGAGAGCTCCAGTTTGCCCGGCACCGGAAGTCCTTGGGCAAGCTGGCATTGATTGACGAGATGATCGAGGGTGAAGACTTGCAGACATTACACGTGCTCCACCGCTTGGCCATGACAGCTTTGAGTAACGCTTCAGTAGCAAGCAAAGACATGATCTTCTTCAGTGGAACCAGGGCTGCCCATGCATATCTCAAGTTGAGCGGCGACCTCACATACTTTACCGACAACTTGGAGGTGTCCATGGACGACAATGGTTGGATTGCGGAAATCTGCCTGTGGACGCCATGGGCCTGCACCTTACTTGTAGGATTCCCTGGCACTTGTTATTTAAGGGCTGCCGCCGCTGCCGCCGACCCCGCAAAGGGGCGGCTGCAGCACAGGGGCAAATTGAGGGGTCCTCCCGGGAGTACTGTAACACATTAGATTTCTGTCAGGTAGGAAGTAAGGCTAGGGGG